GCGTGGATTCGATCTTACGACTGCTTGGTCTTCTGACCCTGCAGCACAGGCTTCTGCGGTTTAGCCCGCAGCGCCACCACGTAGAGTGCATACATACACAAAAATAGTTACAAATTTCCACTGCAGATAGGAAAAAAAATTTCTTGTAACTCTAATGTGGAACAGAGACAGGGTAAGAATGCCAGTGTTGTTCAGAGAAACAAAACTGGCAGATTTTGACATCCATACACAGAATCCCATATATACAATGGCAATTGATCTTTGTCATGAACTGTCAGGGGTATATAAAAGGGATATGTGGGCCTCTTACACAGTACTTAACTATTCAATGCTCTGCTTGGATTCATAGTAATAACAAAAAATTATTACATACATGTACAGACTTCATTAGCTCACCCTGTGTATGAGTGCATGTGTGTTTCCGTATCATAATAAGATGTGATTCTGTTAGGGCTTGATAAATCCACTTCATGCTATTTAATATCCCACAAAAATCTGAGGAATAGACCAAATAAAAAGTATAGCAATTCACCATTCCAAGAGCTTTTAATGTTTTTAATTATTCTGAAACAAATATTTCTATCAATAGGAAGTACATACTACAAAATGGAAAGTAGCAGAACACAGAATCATTCATGTAAAATATTACATGGATATATTAGTTCTATATATCGGATGCATAATAATGTATAGTTCAGTGGCCCCAACTTCAGGTTCCCAGACATTCTTGGACTGCAATCTCCAGAAGCCCTTGTTAGCACAGCTAGTGGTGAAGGCTTCTGGGAGTTGAAGTCCAAGAACATTTGGGCCCCTAAGGCTGGGAACATTATTGCTCATTATTCAGGTCTCTTCTGGTAATTTCTTCAGAATCCAAGCTTGCAGTTTTTCAAGCTCACTTCTGTTCAGTTCATGATACAGGTTTGGCAAGGTCACAAACGTTGTTGTTACTCCCAGGGACTTTAAGATCTTGTTGGTCTCCTCACCCCAAGAATACAGAACCAGTTCATCAGCCGTCCCATGACACTGGAAGAGTTCTGGGAATTCTTTTCCATCCTTCTTCAGTACCTATTGGCAAACGAGACATCAGCTCTGTTATCAGTTTTAAAAAGATTTAAGAAGGGAACTAGTGGAAAAGGGATAGTCAATGCCTTATGCTCAACACCTAGTGGGATGCCTAAATCAGACTGTGCTTAGAATATTTAACAAGCCAGGAATAATAATAACAACAACAACAACAACAACAACAACAACAACAATCATAATCATAATCTGTTGCTTTCTATTGGCATGATCATCATCATCATCATCATCATCTGTTGCTTTCTACTGGCATATCATCAGTCCGTCTAGCTCACTATTTCCTATTCTAATTATCATTAGATAATTAGACTGCAGACACGCGGTAGCAGCTCCAAAGAGAAATTCAAAATCTCATAAAATTAGAACTCCATGAGAAAAGGCAGGCAATGTATATACATGTTGAAGTCTAACATATGCAACAGGAAACCTTCTGTACTCCACAGGATCTAGAACAGTGACGGCAAACCTTTTTGAGCTCGCATGCCCAAAATGAAAGGGGGGGAGAGAAACCAGTGGCTGTCATGCCACGTGGAAAGAAACCAGTGGCTGTCATGCCACCCGGAAAACCAGAACCAAAAGTGGCAGTTGCAGGGGGAATCATAGCGACGGACGCAGGACAGGAAGAGAAAGGGGGAGGAATTATGGCGACGGACACAGAACAAGAAGAGAAAGGGGGAGGAATCATGGCAAGTGACGCAGAAGAGGAAGAGAAAGGGGGAATCCCGGCTGCAGCCACTTCAAAAGGTTTCTATCCACAAGGGCGGGTGAGAGGGCATTAACTCGTCACGTGCCAGAAGAAAGGGCTTTGTGTGCCACCTGTGGCACGTGTGCCATAGGTTCGCCATCACTAATCTAGAATACTATGTGATGTGTTCTAAACCTGTGCAGACAGCTTACACAGCACCTTTCCCACAGGAATGTTGTGTCTTTCAACTTCAGTAGTGGGACCCTACAATGAATATGAGAAAGCTTCCTGCCCCAATGCATGAAGACATGAATCAGGGAGTAGAGCTAACAGATCTCTAGGTTGTAGCCTGGCTTTCCTAGCTCTGTTACATGGAGACCTCAGGAATGGAACTTGGAACTGCCTGCAGACACACAGCATGTGCTCTACCACTGACCTATGACCTCCTCCTAAGTCTCTGCTAAACAAACTGACAAAGAACTTGGAGCAAGTGCCTTGATGAAAGGAAAATTCTTCTCTCTCCTGCACACTCTATTATGTTTCTTCAGAGCTTGAGAAATTTGCTTTTTTTTAGTACAACTTGCTGGCAGTGAATCTTAGTCCAAAGAAGTTAACTCTTCTAAGATCTCCTTATGGCTCAGTGAAGCAGCCTGTTAGGAGATTTAGCACAAATAAAAGGATATGCTTCTTCATATAAAGTTAAACAATGGCCCTGCTTTCACAGGATCTGATGACAGCCACCAACCTAGATGGCCTCTAAAAACGGATTAGACAAATTAATGGAGGATAAAGCTTACAGTGACTACTGATGTTGATGAGTGTTTTGTTACCACCAGAAGCACAAGGAATACACCTACATCAATTGCTGAGGAACTGCAGCAGGAGAGAACTGCTGTCCTCATAACCTTCCCATAGACATTTGGTTGGTCACCGTGGGAAGCAGAATGCTGGACTAAACAGGCCAGCTCTTTTCATGTCTGCTGGCTGGTCAAAGATTATGAGACAGAACACAAAGCAGACACTAAAGCACTAAACAGAACTGAATAACTGAAGCAATTTTGAACCAGAGCATTAGGTGTTCAGAAAGAGACATGGCTACTAGATAATCCTTACTTTGACATTTTGGCAAGCCATGCTGCCTGGATAATGAAAGTCTTATTCTTTTTTTTTTTTAGAGAACTCTTTTTCAGAAACCTATCCCCAGGAAGAGAATCTTAAGGCACAGCATAAAGAGATCACTGGGCACAAAGCAGGAAAATTGTATTTCCAAATGCATCTTATCTTTAATGGAACATAGTTTACATTATTTGTTTAATTCTAGTAAAGCAGTTCTGAGAATACAGTGGTACCTCGCTTAACAAGGATAATCCGTTCGCTGTAGAGCGAAATCCTCATTAAGCGAAATAAAAAATCCCATTGAAACGCATTGAATACCCATTCAATGCATTCCAATGGGCTGAATAACTCACCGTCCAGCAAAGATCCTCCATACGGGCGGCCATTTTTGGTGCCTATAAAGCGAGGAATCTATCCAAAAACAAAGTGGGGAGCCATTTTACACAGCGGGCGGCCATTATGAAGCCACTGAACAGCTGTTTTAAAACGTTGTCTAGTGAAAAATCGGTTCCCGAAGCAGGGAACCGATCGTCGGGAAGCGAATTTTGCCTATTAAAACATCGTTTTGCAATCGCAAAACAGTCATCGTATAGCAGTTTTGTCGTTTAATGAGGCAATCGTTAAGCGAGGAACCACTGTACATAATCGGACCAAAATGGTGTCAAAAACATCCACCACCTTCTCAGTGGCAAACACTCACCTGGTAAACAGCAGAGTTCTTATTGAGGAAACCCGAGAGAACAAACACTCCAGCCACATCTGGGTGGTATCTATAGGCTAAATGCAGCGCCATGCCTCCACCCATTGAAAAGCCACCTAGTGTTTTTTTAAAGAAGAAAAAAGATAAAAACATACTAAAACCAAGTGCTTAGACATGTCACTAATTTTCAGAACTGCTTCCTACTTTCCAAAATATATGCACAGACATACATGTAACACCTTTATGCAAGGTAAAGATTTAACCAAGCTGTACAGGCTACACCACTATCCAGACAGAAAATAAAATTTGCCAAGTGTCACTAGATGTCATTCCATGCTTGCTGCAGAGTTGTGACTGAGGAAGCCTGAGCAAGGAGGCAGTGGGACGAGGGTGACCTTCTAGTCACCTGAAATATTTTTTCTAAAGCATTGTTTTCAGAGCTTGGAATAGTTAAGGTTTTTGGACCACAACTCCCAGCATCCCCCAGTAAGCCAGAATCGATGCTTGTTGCAAGATTTTGTGGGTCAAAATGTAACCCTAATTTCATCTTGCCCCATCTATCCAGATTCTGTTGTGATTATGTAACCATTACACCAACTGAATGAATTAAGAATTATGCTGACTATACTCCCAACTCATTCTCATCCCAGCAAGAAAGTGCATTTAATTTCTTTTCCTAGGATATCAGAGATAAGTGATTTTCTTTTCTCTATTTTTTTAAAATGAAATATATTGGAAACATAAATGAAAAAAAAAAAGAATCACAACTCAAATATACAGTGTAACCCACCACCATTAGGAATATATCATTGATGTGTTTCATCTTAATTTATGTCATTTGCCCCATCTCTTTCCAAAAATATGATTCCTGTGCTGGGGGTATAGCCTTTGTTTCGTAAATTCTGGGGGTATAGCCTTTGTTTCGTAAATTCTATATAAGGGTTCTACATCCCATTAAAACTATTTTCTTTCAATAATCCTTTTCTAACTTTCAATTCATCAGTTAATTTATCTTTAACAGCTAGATTCCACATCTAATTATACCATTCTTCCAACATCAATTATTATTTTTTCAATTCCTTTCTAATATCGATCTAGCTGCTGTTAACATGATAACAATTAGTTCCATTTCCCTCTATCCAATTGACTGTTTCCAAATATACTTAACAATGCTAACATTAGATATCTTTGTACAGTATATCTCGTTTAATCTTCTCTGAATAGCTTTTGTTTCATTTTAACCAGGTTGGTGACAGTCACAATAACGATAAGGCTAAGCAGAAAATAATAACTGTGTTCCCGTTTTGAGAGGAAGGTGACTAAGGTGAAGACCATAAGGGTCTTAACCTTATGGACCATAAGACCATAAGGTCATGCACGTGCATGACCTTATGGATCTTGATAATTCAGCTATGGCTTCAATTTCACTTCTGGTCCAGGGGAAAGACTCATTTATTTTTTGATAATGTTTTACTTAGAGATGTGGTATACTTTGGTTTAGTCATCAACCAAATGGGGACTGCAGTCAAGAAACCAGAAGGCGACTAAGACTTGGAAAGGCAGCAATAAAGGTATCAGAAAAGATCAAGTGTAAGGATGTGTCACTGGAGATGAAGACCAAGATCATCCACACCTTTGTATTTCTCATCACAATGCATGGGTGTGAAAGCTGCAAAGTAAAGAAAGCTGACAGGAAAAAAACTGATTTGTTTGAAATGTAGTGCTGGATGACAGTTTTGTGGATACCCTGGACTGACAGAAAGACAAAGAACTAACTCAAATCGAGCCTGAACTACCATATTTTTCGCTCCATAAGACACACCTCTCCTTAAGACACACTTCATTTTCAGGGGAGGAAAACAGGAAAAAAATATTCTGGCAATTTCAGCCCGCTGGGCCCGCAGGGGTGGGGGGAGCCTTGGAAGGGTCCAAGAGTGCCTTCCAGGACCCTTTGGAGGCTCCCCCCATGTTCACAGGGCCAGCGGGGGTGAAATCGCCAGCTTCCAGGACCCTTCTGAGGCTTTCCCTTCTGAGGTCGTGATTTCGCCCCAGCTGGCCCCGCAGGGTTGGGTGGGTGGGTGGAGCCTCTGAAGGGTCTGGAAGGCACTCTCACCCAGCATTCCCTGCTGTGCCCTGGGAAGCACTGTTTTATAGTATTCGCTCCATAAGACGCAGACACTTCCCCCCCACTTTTGGGGGTGGAAAAGAGCGTCTTATAGAGCAAAAAATACAGTATCTCTGGAGACAAAAATGTTGAAACTGAGGCTGTCCTACTGCACACAATAAGAAGGCAAGATTCTCTGGAAAAGACAATAATGCTGGGCAGGGTGGAAGGCAGCAGGAAAAGACTAAGACCACATCTGAGATGAACCGACTCCCTAAAGGAACCACAAGAACCAAGCAGGGCTGTTGAGGACAGGATATTCTGAAGTTCACTCTTTGATAGGGTAGCCACAGATTGGAAGTTACATCTATGTTGCCTACAATAAGTCTTCTGATTATAGCCCAGTACATACTTTTTGAATGGAGAGATAATTGTAGATAAATTAAAATATATTTTTTTCAGAATAGTTAAGCCAAAGTTTCATTTGGGTGGTTCAGTAGTCCTTTATCAGATCAAATTGTGTTGGTGGTAACAGATATTATGATTGGATAGTTATTACTAATTTGAGATGTGTGCTATTAATTCATAAGGTAACACTATTTACGAGATATTCCACTGCAGAAGGGATGCATACCTTGAACAACTTCAAAAAACAGAGTATGTTTCTGCCTGTTAGACTTCAGGCGGCAGCAACAGAATGTACAACGTAACACAACACACGCAAAAATTAATATATATCCTTTCATCATACTGATGTGGAAAACCCTGCAACATAAACCCAAGGAAGAGTTCAGCTATGAAAATGTACATGGACTGGCTGCTGAGCTGGGTATTTCTTGTGTGTTTGTGTGGGTTTAAATATAAACCATAATAAGCCACAGAATTACACTTAGTTCTTTTTTCATATATAAAAAAGGCATAGCTGCACTCAAGCCCTCAAACTTACTTCACTGTGCCACTTCATGCCATCATCCCAAACCTCATAAAAATACAGTGGAAAGACTTGCTCTGTATATATATATATGTGTGTGTGTGTGTATATAGTCACTCTCAGCTTGCAGCACATAACGTACATAAATAAAATGTAAGTATATTTCGATGTTTCAGAATACAGAGACAAAATGGGCCACACTGAAAGCTCATTAATGATTTAATGATATAAATGATTTAATCCCCCAGTCCCTCTTTTATTATTATTATTTTTTTGCACACTCTTACTCACTAGCTTGGCAAAGCAACCCAAAATTACTCACCAATAATGCCAGTTAATGCAGTCACCTTCTGTGGGGAGAACATAGCAGTGGGACTTGCCAAGGGCTCTTGCAATCAAGAAAAACTGAATACTGTACATATGGCTGTTTTGTTGAAATCTGAAGGGGAAAACCTGCAGTTTTATCCCTTAGTAACACTAGTCTCTAGGTGAATACTCTGGAGTGGAAGTTTGGCTAACTTTACAAACCACAGATTAGCTGCAGGCAAAGGACTGTGTTTTCAAAGCTTAACTCTTACCATGTAAGCCTATACTGGACCTTTATAAGCTTGTGCTGAACATAATACATAACATATAAGCACAGACTCAAATCAAGGGAGATTTTAGCTGTATACATATTTCGACTCATAAGTTTTCAAAATTTGTTTTACAGTTGTCTTTGCTATTCTCTTGTTTCTTGTTGGACATTTTAATACCACCCTGAATTCTAACACAATGAAGAATGATATGAAAATGTGTTGCTGTTTTTTTAAAAAAATATCAGTAATGCGATGTGCTATGGCTTCCATAGTTTTGAATATTCAATGCCCAGATTGCTCTCTTTCCCTGATACAGGAGAAAATACACAGATTTTTAAAATGGTCAACAATATTGGAGTGTATGATGCCATGGAAGCAGCCTGGCATGTTGCCTGGAATTTGTTTACATGACTCTCCTTTTCAGTCACTCTCTCCAAGATGCACAGCATTTTACCCCTCCTCCATCCAATTCATATACAGAAGTGACTGCATATGCCAATATATATAAGAAACACAGCTACTTTATGTTCTTTCCCACATGGTTCAGTAGCTATGGAAGAAAGCTCGTAATAAACAGAAAAGTGGCTGCATGTCTCATGTTATTTTAATGAAACAAGGGGTCAAAAACATGCCAGTATTCCTTAGTGTACTGTCGACTCTACAGCTCTGTCACAGAAAGTTTATTTTCACTGGCTGCTCATAAAAGTGACTACAGGTGGCACACACCAACTGACTTGGATCACCATTTCTGTGCTGCATCAAACCAATGGGAAAAGGGTGGGGGAGGAAAAAATGACCTAAAAAGTTGGTAAAGAGGAAATGAGGACTTTGCCAAAGGTAGCTAAACAAACATATACCGTTATACTGCACAGTGAGTACTGCGAAAAGACAAACACAGCATACACCTGCACTAATGATCTAGGCATGCTGCTGACATATACGCCTTCAAAAAGGACTAGATATGTCTTTTGACAGCAATGGATTTCCAGGGTCACTAGTCATTTGTTAGATTACGTCTCCATGACTCATTGGAATGGGGCCTTCAAATCTAAGACGGAGAGTCATTGCTGTGCTTAGAGATGAGGGTATTTGTATTCATATACGAATATACGCACAACAGGTGAACATAACAAGGGTTTGGCCCCCTGGGGCTGGACTGTCCAATGACCCTTCTGCTGCTGCCACCAGCTCTTCGCTCCCTTCCAATCACTCCAGAGCACCCGATCTGCTAGCCACTCCAGGCAGACAGAGGGAAGATGAGTCTCCCTGGAAGGCTGATGATGCAAGGCTTCCTGCAGTAAGCTGCAGTTAGAGTAGGCCCATTTGAATTAGTGTAATGTATAGAGGAGAACCCTGAGTGCTCACTGGAAGGACAGATCCTGAAGCTGAGGCTCCAATACTTTGGCAATCTCATGAGAAGAGGAGACTCTCAACCAATTGAAAAGACCCTGATGCTGGGAAAGTGTGAAGGCAAAAGGAGAAGGGGACAACAGAGGATGAGAT